TACGTCATGGTTCCATTTAAGGTCATTCAGTTATTTTTCGCAATCGAGTTCAAGGCCATGAGAGGCTGTATCATGATTATTTTGCTGAATCGCCTATCTATCCCTCAAATTTATTTCGAAGAAGGTTTCGAATTAATCGAGCATTTTTCTTTCGTATTCTATCCAAGGTGGAAGATTGTGATCCATATTTTGTCCAAAAAAAAAAAATGCTGCTGGAACTACTAGCTTGTCTTCCCTTCAAAAGATGACAGCTGCCATAAGGATGCTTGCTTATAGAGTTGNTCAAATTTATTTCGAAGAAGGTTTCGAATTAATCGAGCATTTTTCTTTCGTATTTTATCCAAGGTGAAAGATTGTGATCCATATTTTGTCCAAAAAAAAAAAATGCTGCTGGAACTACTAGCTTGTCTTCCCTTCAAAAGATGACAGCTGCCATAAGGATGCTTGCTTATAGAGTTGCAGCAGATGCTATTGATGATTATGTGAGGATTGGTGAAAGGACCGCAATATAAAGTTTGAAAAGATTTGTGAGGGCGGTAGTAGCAATTTTTTCCGATGAATACCTCAGGGTCACCAAACAACGATGACATTACTAGATTATTAGCAATTGGTACCAACCGTGGATTTCCTGGAATGTTGGGTAGCATTGATTGTATATATTGGAAGAATTGTCCAACAGCGTGGAAAAATATATATTCTGGTCACGTCCATGAACTAATAATTATTTTGGAGGCGGTGGCTTCATATGATTTCTGGATTTGGCATGCCTTTTTTGGGTTACCCAGATCTCATAATGATATCAACGTATTATAACGTTCTTCTGTTTTTGCTCTCTTTTCAGAAGGTCGGGCTCCTCCAATCAATTTCTCAGTCAACGGAAACGATTATACAATGGAGTATTACCTTGCTGATGGTATATATCCAAAATGGGCAACATTTGTCAAAACAATTCCATCTCCAAGAGGCAATAAACAAATACATTTTGCAAAATCTCAAGAGTCGGCAAGAAAGGATGTTAAACGAGAATTTTGAGTGCTCCAAGCACAATTTGTTATAGTGCGTGGACCAGCACGTTTCTGGACAACTGAAGTGCTTAAGAATATTATGAAGGCATGCATAATATTACATAACATGATTGTCGAGAATGAGTCGAATGCTAATGAGTTAGACATTACTTATGATACAATGGATGAGAGTCCCACTACCACAGTCATACCTGAGCGGAGTTCAGAACTACTACAATTTATTAATACTCAGCATTGTATTAGAGACAAAGAAACTTATTCCAAACTCCAAGCTGATCTAGTCGAGCATCAGTGGAATATGCATGGAAACTTCAAGGCACTACTTAAGCAAATGTTATTACAGTACTTTTTGCAAATTCATTACTACTACATAAAATTGTTTGTCTATCAATAAAAAGGCACTACATCTTCTTTCCCATGATTTTCATTTGGCGACGTTGATAATATTCAGCTTGCAATGAAGGCATGCAACTCTTTTCCATCGACATTATTCGCTCTGCCTCTCTTGTTTGCTCCATTTGCATTCTCTTTTTCTCTTGTAGTAGATGTTGTTGTTCTTGAAGTAGACATTCCTGTTCTTGAATATATTATTTTTCAAACATTTCAAATTTCATCTCATTCACTACATTTTTCTCTTCCTTCGTCTCTGCTAACAGATTCACGAGTTCATTACTTCTTGCATCCCCTCCAGCGTCTTTGCCCTTTGATTTTTGTAGTCGTGCTTTCTCAGCTTTCCTTCCTGGTGGTTTGTCTAAGGATCCATAGGACCCACCGTCATCTCCTAAATTTACGGAGTCCGCTGTAGAAGGCACGAAGCTGTCAGGAGTTGCATTATGTTTTGTTTTTTGCTTCTTTGTTTGAGAATCCTCCATCCATTTTGGTTGATACCTTAACTCATTCCAACAATGTTCAAACGGAAAAAAAGATTTATAGAGTTCCTTGTACAAGTTTTTGGCATCATGAATCTAAAAATTTTTACAACAAAACTCATTATCATGTCATTAAAAGTACACAATTTTGTAAAAAAAATATTCACTCATACCTTGTCTTTCTCTGTCAAACCACATTGATTTAGTCTTTCTATCTATGCAAAACACCCACAAAATTTGTTGGTGGCTAGCTGAATTGCTGACCAACGATTCATTAAAGAATTTTGACTACGACAAGGGCATGACTTAGGTTTGTATTCGTGGAAGAACTCGCAAACCCTTTGTCAGCATGTCTTTGATTTTTGCTCATTTCCTTGCACAACATCCAAACTAATATTAAGCCACGTCAAGATTATCATAATATCTCCCTTTGATGTAAAATTGTCACCTCGTTGTTTTTTGGGGATAGATTCTACTTGAGGAGATATTGGTGAAGATTGACCTATAACCTCATAATCTAAATTTGTTCCATCATGCATGAGATTGGTGAAGTACGCGCCATGTTGGAATGGATCCATGTGTAATGCCTATAAGATGAGACAATCAATGTTCAACTCGTACTGAGCTACCAAGTTACTTAACAAAATTCTAATCAGTTTCATGCCAAATAAATATCCACCAGGCTAATTCTAGAATAAGAAAAAATATTGCAAGCCCTCATCTTTGTGTTTTCATGGGAAAGACTAATTCAATGAAACAAAAAGATTGAAACCAACAATCTGAATTGGAATCAATCTAAATCAGAATTGAAACAATCTAAATCTTGAATATCATCTTAACAATATTGAAACCAACAATCTGATTATAATGATTGCTGTATCTAAATTGGTATCACCAAGTTCTATCAATGTGTAAAGAAAATGAAAATTAAGAACAATAACTACTAAAAGTGAACTGGGTATCAACAAAATGATCAAGTTACCTGCTCAAATTAGATCAATTTGTAGAAACATTTGTTTATGGAGAAAAGGACCTCCTAGCCTTCACCACAGGGACACTTGAAGTGAATTGATTTAAGACCTCATTACAAGAAAGTAATTAATTTAAGACCAACCAAATCAATAATCAAGATGCTTGAAACTCTGTTGTGGGTAGAACACCAAGAAATCAAGAACTCAAGTTGATCAGGTATTGTTTTTGCACGTTTTTACTGATCCTTTTGATAAAATCACAAATCTTCTTGATAACCAGATGATGCAATTTGAGTTGTGGCATTCACATGTTTAAAAAAAAAATACATTAGAGAAACTTCTCATACCAAAACCAAGTTTTGAAATCAAAATATATCCCATTCAATTCTCAGAACCAAGTGAATGAAACTAGAAGATATGAACTTGGGAAAAGGGAGTATGTCACTGTTTTTGTCAAGTTCAAAAATGTCTTTGCTAAGAGATGCACTTAGTTCTTACCAAATTTTTATCTAATTTCCAACACTAACAAAACAAGAAAATCAAAAACAACACAGAGAATAACAAATATCACAAGCCCAAAAGAAAGAAAAAAAATCTCAAATTTAGCAAGAACAGTTCTTGAACTAGTTTGTTTTGAGCTAACAAACATCAAATCCATGATGAACCGAGAAGGCTCAATTTTGAGCTAATAAACACAATCCCTCCAACATATTTAATGCTTTTGCAACAACCCAATCTATAGTGAACAATGATCAAAATATACATACCCAGCTTTTAGAACAATGTCACAGGCAAAATTGAAGAAGTGAACAATGCTAGACATACCAATACCCAAGTAAACCAATACCCACATTGAACAATCAGGCAAGACCCATCAAGTAACAATTGAAAAATCAGGCAAGACCCATCAAGTAAATCAATACCCACATGATTGGGAAACATATAAACGAAAGAAAAATAGATCTAAATGTATGAAATTTTGAAACATACCGGAGATTTTTTGGAGATCTGAAGCTTTCAGTGAAGCTTCAGTGGAGCCTTGTCGATGATAGATTTGTCGGTGAAGCTTTAGTGATAGATTTGCCCGTGAAACTTTCAGTGATCTTCGGTGGAGCCTACGATGAAGCCTGGTCGTTCTATGCTATGGAGCTTCAGTGAGACAGAGAGAGAGAGAGAGAGAGGGCCAGCGAGCGAGAAGGGCTAGCTACATCCAACGACCAAAAATGGGATTATCTATTTTACATAAGGGAGTAGCTAGCCTCTTGGAGCAATATTTTGGGCAGAAGTTATCTAAAATAGCTAAAGGGGTAAGTTTAGCCAACCTCTTGGAGATGCTCTTATGGATTGCATCAGCTAGACTTTCAGATGGATCATTATACTATAGAACAAAATATTATGATAATTGTACCTCATCCTATTTTTGTGGCTTTCCTTGGTAAATCCACGGCTGACTTTAATTATTTTCCTTAGTATATCCTTTGTTGAACCATGATAATCTCCCAAAATACTCTTCCTTCGCCACTGAATTATGTCTATTCAAAAATAGAGAGATCAATATCAATTTTCAAATTCTCAGTAATAGCTATTAAAAGAATATACGTATCTATGAATACACGAGGCATTGTGTCTTCGGCAAGGAATTCATGCACAATGCCTTCCATATACGTATAATGATCCATGCAGAATTCATGCACAATGCCAATGCCATTCATATACTACACCCTCGCTTCTTTTTAATCTTTTGATCTCTCATCCTCTTTCTTGTCTTTAATACGTGTTCCCACTTATTGGCCAAACAATAAGTATTCTGTATAAGTATATATACCCCATCATCATCAGGTTCTAATTCGAGAACCTTCTTTCCCGCCGTTTCAGCTATTTCCAAATTCCCTCTTCCAAAGCAAGGACTCAAAAGGGATCTCCAGATCACAGCATCTGGGTTGATGGGCAACCATTGAATTAACTCTAACGCTTCCTCCAAATACCCTGCTCGGCCAAGAAGGTCCACCATACACCCATAGTGCTCAATCATTGGTTTAAAATCATGACAATCAAGCATTCTGTTGAACAACCTCTGCCCTTCACTGACCAATCCTGCATGGCTACAAGTAGATAACAACGAAAGATATGTAATCTCATTCGAGTGCATATCTCCCTTCACCATGAAGCGCTAATCCGGATATAATGGGGGTCCATGTTAGCAAATCCTTATCCAACATTCCCCTAAAAATCTTTGTAGCCAAGCCAAGGCTGCCGCTTTTTGAATACAGATCAATCAGACCATTATTGACTGCAATATCACAAACAAGACCAGCAAATTTGTAAACATAGCCATGAATTGATTGACCAAAATCAAGAGCTCCTAAATCAGCACAACCTGCAAGGACAGAAACAATGGTAATTGAAGTAGGATGATCTTCACCTCCAACTCTCATTTTCTGAAATAGTTCCAATGCCCATATTGGGCTTTTTCCACGTACATAGCCCACAATCATAGCAGTCCACGAAATTGTGTTTTTCTGAGGCATTTCCTCAAACAGTTGGCCTGCAGATCTCATATCATCACACAGTATGAACCCATTAAGCAAACTAGTCCATGTAGCCACGTCTCTGAATTCCATTGTACCAAACACCAGTTGATCCATATGCATTTTTCCATTTCGGCTATACATATCAATCAGAGCATTACCCACGATGGGTTCAGAGCAACCCAATTCATATCTATAGTTCATTCCATGAACTACTCTCCCATTGAGTAGATCATTCTTCCAGCCACAAGCCAAGAGAGCACACACAACTGCAAACCCATCTGGCCTGAAACCGGTATTTATTAAGTCAGAGAAAACAAAGAAAGCGTTAGCTGGACGTTCAGTGTTAAGGTAGAGAGAGATGAGACAGGACCATGAGACTATGTCGGGACTTTTGTATTTGGTTGAAGATCCCCTGGGCTGCAATGGATTTGCCCAGTTTTGCGTAGGTGTTTTCATGCAAAGAGTTGGTTGTGATTCAATAAACCTTGTGTTATGGCTTGCATGTGGATTTGCTTGATGAGCCTCTCATGGTTTCCATATTTGTCAAGTAGAAGTCTCAAGCCCGATAGCTTATTGGTCATCTATTCTAAACTACTCTTAAATAAAATGGTTCTTGCCCATTCAGCTCATAAATTCGCCTTAGCAGTGAAGATCTACCAGATTTATTAGAGCATCAGAGCCCTGTTTCCACCATCTAGGTATTGTTAAACAATGTTAACAAAGAACAAAAGACAATCGATTTCATGAAGACTCTAAGTGATCAATAGCATTGCACATATAGATCTAAATATATTTGACTGGAGGAGTTATTAAAATATGAATAAAGCATATGAATATAGGAAACTGAATTGACCATAGAGTCATGCATGTGTACAGTTTGGTAACCCTGCCAACATTAAAGGAGACCAGCAAGCATAGTAATGAACTAATGGGATCAAGAAAAGAGAACAAAGAAACACATCATACAAAACAAAAATGCCCACTAGTTCTCCTTGGAGAAAAAAGTTTGAGAAACGAAGAAAAATTAAACATCATAAAATGAATATAAAGAGGAATTGAAGCATCTCTATTCCTCAATCAAATTACTCCTACACAAATTGTGGAGAAAAAAAGTTAGCAGCATATAAGAATGGCCACTTGTGAATTGACCAAAAAATGGTGATCAATTTTGGTCAAATATTAGATCGTCTATGAAATTCTGACATTGCCCTATTCTAACTACAATGCTAGTGTATAAAAAGGTAGTACTTGTGAGATAGCATTATTGCAGTGTCCCAAAAAGGTATTGATTCAGAGTTTCTCTAACCTTGAAATTTTGTTGTTCTAAAACATTATCTTAGAGCATCTCCGATGCCCCTCACCAGTGCAACCTTTTAGCCATTTTAGCGAGCAAAATTTCAAATCGTGTGCTCCAATGCCCTAGCTATCTAGCTCGTTAAAATCTAGGAAGTCAAATTACTCGCCAGATCTAGAGAGGGCAATCCANATTAGTTGAAGTAGTCAGTTAAAATAAAGAGCGTGGTTAGAGTGAATTTAAAAAAATGAATAGTTAAAATAGAAAATATAATATTTAAATATATTTTGAGTAACTATTTTAACAAGTAGGGTTGGAGTTACTCTTAAAGGTGGCAAAAGTCCAACCAATTGATGTGATGACTGGTCATGATTGTTTTGCGTTAGACAAATAATACTCTGCCATGTATGATTAAAAAGAAAAAAAATCCATTTTGAATTTGTGCTACAGCTTTTAGTAGAGTATTTTGGTGGAACAAACATGTTATATATTAAACATGTTTCATTGCAGTAAAAATTCTAGTGTGTCGCACTAGTGTGGTGAAATATAAAAACATACCATATATGGGAAGAAAAACATTAAAGACGGTATTTTTTTAAAAATAATATTTTTTGGATCTAATTCATTAACTTAATCATCTATAACTATTAGATTGATTGTAGGTCCGCAAATAGTGAAACCCATTTGCACCCACAATCAATCTAATAGTCATAATAGATTATGTTAACAAATTAAGTTCCAATAATATTATTGATTTTCAACCTTATTTTCACAATTCAGGATTCAAATTCTTTTCGATATTTTTTTATTAGATCACCATTTGTGTACTAATGATGATTCATTTATGTACAATAATTCCCCACTTCAATTGATGGTAGGTGATTTAAGAAAGAAAAAAATAAATTAAAAATATATTTAAGTGTATCTTGTACATGCTATGATCCTTGCCATTTGCCAAGGTGTTGCAAGTGCCATTTGCGGGCCTTGTTACCTTTGATTCCATTGCATGTATGATACAAAGAAAATGTGAGATCAAGCGAGAACACAGTGACAATGAGAGCAAGGAATGGAGTTTAGAAGCACCGGAAACATAAGAAGCAATCGAAAGAATAAGTTAAAGGTTCCATTTTAGGATAAAGGACTGGATGGGATCGATGGTCAGCTCATTTGGTCATAACATGGAAGAGGAATGCTACCTCCTTGATTCTTCGATTCATATATTTGTCACGAAATAAGCCATGCGCAAGAATGAATTGTGAAACTAGGCTACATCGTCAACCTATTTTTCGCACACAAAAAATTAAACCCAAAAATAATGTGAACCCGTATGGAAAAAAATTACATCATTCTCCCACTTGGGTGACATTGATTGTAAGCTTAGTTTTTAAAATCACTAACATCGAATATCATGGAAAAAATTACTTTGTTTAGCGCCATAAGGCCACTTCGTGGTTAAAAATTATAGCACCCCTTATCGACTGGGATGGCCAATACAACAAGAAAAAAAATTTATTGCGACGACTAAGAAAAAATGCCGTCAAAAAATGACATTCCACGACCAAACATTATATTTTGTAGCCAAAAATTATATTAATTTTTTTTTTGCTACAATAATTTGTACTTGTAGCCGAATGTGGCTGATAAAAAAATCTCACCATTAGCTCTTACTTTTGGCGATGAACTTATTCGTCGCGAATCAAATGATGTTTCATTTGATGATTGATTTAATAGATGCGCTATTCAGCAACAATATCAAATTATCGTAAAAAAAAATAAAAACTTGGGTGACTACAAGTTTTTGCCACAGATAAAATTTTTAAATTGCAGTTAAAACAAACCTTGTGCCAATACGCTACCCGACTAGGTAGATAGAAGCAAACACTCGAATTTAGTCTTAGTAAATATAAGCAAAAATTCCTCAAATTATTATAATTTATAAATCACAGTGATGTATATTTTTATGTATGCTATTTTTTCTAGTAAAGAATTTTTTTGTTGTATTAATTCACTTTTATAAATTGCAGTGATATGTAGATTGATGATGGATGACTTGAAGTTGATTTTGGTGATACAATCTCTTCCTTTGTATTCTATGTAATTCGAATTCTTGTGACTTCTAGATATTGGGGTGTTTGAATATTTTTTTTACTATGAATGTTTAACTACGAGGATGTTTTGGAACGGAATTTTTGTAAAGAATTTTGTATGGATGTTTTGGTATGAGTTCCTGTCTGGATGTTTTAGTATGGGTTTTTTTATGAATACTTTGGAAATTATGATTTCTTATTTTCATAGATTATGTATTTTTATGACAGTTTGATGAATATATTTTGAATTATTACAGAGACAAATGTAATCATAAAATGTCAATATTTTAAAAATTATTATGTTTAGCGTTGATAAAAATTTGGTCACTAAAAGTCTCTTTATTTTATGGTGGCCAATTGATTTTGTTGCCTTTCATTCAAGGGAGAAAGTATTTATTTATTATTTGGCGATGAAAGTACACTGGTCGCAAAAGAGGAATCTTAATTGTGGTGATGAAAACTATGTCATTGCCAATTAGAGAATATGCGATCACAATTGAAACTCCTTCAGCGATGAAGGTTGTTTTGGTGACAACCAAATGAATTTTTTTAACGGCTAAATTTTGGTCGCTAATTCTCTACTTTCAGCGACGATATTTTTCTTGGNGTCGCAAAAAAGGCATCTTAATTGTGGTGATGAAAACTATGTCATTGCCAATTAGAGAATATGCGATCACAATTGAAACTCCTTCAGCGATGAAGGTTGTTTTGGTGACAACCAAATGAATTTTTTTAACGGCTAAATTTTGGTCGCTAATTCTCTACTTTCAGCGACGATATTTTTCTTGGTCATCAAACACTTTCAAAGACGAGTCTNCTGATAACGTTAAAATTTTCTATAAAAACAATAAAAAATTATGGAGTGATCGTACTTACCAAAGAAATAGGAAGTGGTCGTCCATATGCTTGACTTTTTAGATTTAATAGTTTTAAATGAACCAAAAATTTAATTAATNTTGCCGTGATAAATTTGCGACAAATTGTTTTTGCTGTGATAAACCTTTAACGACGAATTTTTTTGTTGCTACAAAACATTTTTTTTTGCATGGGGTTCATTTCCTTGATTGGATCTATTCGAAACATGGGATGTCTCTCACAACTTCTCCTAGGGTGTTCCTAAGCCATTTTTGGTCCATTTCTACCCTANCTGCCGTGATAAATTTGCGACAAATTGTTTTTGCTGTGATAAACCTTTAACGACAAATTTTTTTGTTGCTACAAAACATTTTTTTTTGCATGGGGTTCATTTCCTTGATTGGNCAAAAATTTAACATTAATCATAAAAGTTATACTTTTGTAAATTTTTTTTTTCTTTTTTGTAAAAAAACTCATAAATTTATATAACAACCCACAAGACTTATAAACTCCGTCACTATAGCCTNGGATCTATTCGAAACATGGGATGTCTCTCACAACTTCTCCTAGGGTGTTCCTAAGCCATTTTTGGTCCATTTCTACCCTAGTATTCCTGGGATGATAGAAATTAGAAAAAACTTCGGCAAGTTCTCCTTCAAGCATCATCATATTGAAATGGTTCTGGTGCTGAAAACTAGGTGCCATCATTGGTGGCCCCTGGTTTTCTATAGGAAACACCATTGGATTGGTATTTCATTTCTCTACTATTTGATTAGCATCATAGGACCTTTGATTAATGTGTCCTGGCATATTTTTTTGGCCACTCATCAACCTATGTATGACATCCATTAAATCATGCCTAATAGTTGAATAGGGATCATGCAGTAACTGTTTCAAGTTTTGCACAAAGTCTTACATTAATGCATTGTTATGACGATTAGTTTGGTTATTTCCTTGCGTTAAAGGCTNGCAGTAACTGTTTCAAGTTTTGCACAAAGTCTTACATTAATGCATTGTTATGACGATTAGTTTGGTTATTTCCTTGCGTTAAAGGCTCTGCAGAGTTGGAACTTGAATTTCTTTCAACATGGGTACCACTTCTTTCGACATGGTTAACACTTCTCAAATGATTCTTAATTGAATTCAAAAATCGAATCAAATTTTATTGTTTTCTCAAACAACGAATTCTCTCAACTATTCTCAAAGCAATATTTTATTTTTAATTTCCTTATGTTCAAAATTTCACCAATTCTTTGTGGTACGTCCTCGGACTCCCGAATATTTCTTACTTTGCACAACTTATATTTGGGTGATCAATTTTAAAGTTGTAACAATATGATTATCTAGACAAGAAGTTACATCATCTAACTGTTGCTACACTTTAAATATGTATTTATCAAGTGTAGGTTGTCACGAAATAATATAAACTCAGTAGTCCGGGTTGTGCCTCATGGAATTGTATAAACTTGGAACGCAAAAAAAAAAAAGAAAAGAAAAGAAAATTGCTTTGAGAATTGTTTGTTTAAAACAGTTGACGATTAAGACATTGCCCCCAGTGAAATATTGTAAAAGTCCATGGGTAAGTTTGTATTTTACAAACAAGTATGACATCATATGTCTTTGACAGACTTTTAGCTGTGGGCCCATATGTCCGCTGATAACGTTAAAATTTTCTATAAAAACAATAAAAAATTATGGAGTGATCGTACTTACCAAAGAAATAGGAAGTGGTCGTCCATATGCTTGACTTTTTAGATTTAATAGTTTTAAATGAACCAAAAATTTAATTAATTATAAACAAATTTGAATAGATGGTCAGATTAGGAGATACGCCTACACGAGTCAATGTGGATCACTTTCAAATTTTTTTTCCAAGGATGACAAAATATTTTTAATTTAGATAAATTTGAAAAGCTATTTTTTGGAATTTTACAGTTAATCTTGAATTAAAATAATTGATTTTAATATTTAGGATTGATTTCAATTATCTCAAAAATTGTAATTTTATCCTACAAAAATTTAACATTAATCATAAAAGTTATACCATGACTCATAAAAGTTATACTTTTGTAAATTTTTTTTTTCTTTTTTGTAAAAAAACTCATAAATTTATATAACAACCCACAAGGCTTATAAACTCCGTCACTATAGCCTTTTTGATATCAAAGTTGAATTTTAACTCTAAATATTATTCATAAATACGATATAAAATTAAGGAATAATTAAGTTGTCCCACAACTAAAAAAAAGTCTCACTCCGCCCTTGTTTAGATTTGACTTCATTCTTTTAGCACAGTCAAACACAAATAGGTGCACCACTGTACGGTAATTTGATTTTAAGTGTCAAATGATGGCATTATTAGAGTGTAACATAAATAGAAAAAGTCAGTTGTAGGAAAAAAAAAAAAATTCTGCAAAAGTCCATGTAGCAGTAGGAAACTTCTTAAGGCGCTACTGGTACTCTAATTGTAATTGTCAGACATTTCCACCTCAAGTGCATACTGCAGCTCAAGCCCCACAAAGTTCTTGGCTTCAATTAGGTAACAGTGGCTACTCTCAAAAATCAACTGTGACCGAACCTGTTGTTTTAACTCTACAACATGGTCAATAGACATGGTCGTCAAGTCATATCGTGTCTCGTCAATCTTTGAATTATGCAATGTTCGAATCATGTCATAGTTGACTAATTTAAACCCGCCAGCATAAAACTAAAGACTCAAAACTTCGTTTTCTATTAACCAATTCCGCTACGCACAGTCCCTTTTAAGTTAAAAACCTACTCTACCCACGTCCAAATAAAACCAAATCAAGAACCATATAAATTTTTTAGAACTAATCTCAACTTGCATCTTAAAATATCATTCAAAATTTAATTTATACCCTCAAATTTTAAAAAACTAATTTACAACTTAAAAGATATAAATATGTATCAATGTACACCTGAAACTAACTGTCATTTATTTTGCTGTTAAAAAATATTGGGTTAATTATAAATTGTACCCCTCAAAATTTAAATATTTAACATTTATGATTCAAAAAGAATTTCATTCATTAATACTTATTAAATAGCTCTCAATTATATCATATAATAACATTTTCGTGTAGTGTTTGAGTTAAAAAAAAATATTTTTAACAAAAAATATTTTCGTGTTTAGTAAATTGCATTGTGTCTTATATTTCACATTTACGGCAGTTCATATAATACTCTTTAATATTTTTTTAAAAATTAAAAAATACCAATTTTTTGTCAATTTGTTTACAGTTGTGTTATTTATATTTAACTTTAATTTGATTGAATAATCAAAAAATTTGTGTCTAACTATAGATAAAAAATAATTATTTAATGAGTATTGTAGGTAAAAAATATATATTTTATAATTTTTTTAAAATTTTAAAAAATATTTTTTATTGACTTGAACACGACACGAATATGTTATGATATGATATAATTGAGAGTTATTTAACAAGTATTAATGGGTGAAATTCTTTTTGAATCATAAATATGAAATATTTTAACTTGGACAGTATAATTTATAATTAACCCAAACTTTTTTAACTGAAAAATTGATAGAGTTAGTTATAAGTGCACATTGATACGAATTTATATCTTTCAGAATGTAAATTAATATTTTTAAACATTGAAGGTATAACTTAAAATTTGTGTAATCTTTCGAGGTACAAATTAAAATTAACCCAATTTTTGATAGCTCATACAGTACCAGATAACACAGCAAAAAAAATATGAAAGAAACAGATATTTTCTTCATACAATACCTATGAAACGAATTGAAACCATCTTAACCCTTTTATTATTTAATTTAATATACCAGCTCCAAAATTTTCAACATTAATTGTCAAAGTCATGTAGCCTATGTGCCCGACAGTCCAAGTATGACATTAAAAAAGTTTAGCCCAGTCACCCATGTGCCTCAATGAGCCCCTCTCCTTCATTTTTGGGTCCCTGTATTCCACCATTCTATTCTCTAGTAGGCCTATTTTTTCTTGGCTTTTATGTCTGCCACATTCACATGAAAGCATAACACCCATCAATTTTGGCAGAGTGTATGGTACTAAAGGTGCCCAACTAAGCCAACTACCCTCACAACAGACGAAATGAGACGCCATCACCACCCCGACAAAGATTACAACAAAGCTCTCGTTCTATGACTGCCCAACCGAAAGAAAAGAAAGGCATCGGTGATGCCTTAACCACACCAACAAACACATTTTTCTTTGATAGCAATAAACCATCTCAATAATGCATTCTTTAAAATTGAATTTAATCACCCACAGGACTTGGCCCAACAATTGAATAAGAGGCAAGTTGAAGGACCAGTTCATACCTTAAACTTTGTTCTTGGTTCTAATCAGAATTATGAACCTGAACAACATGAACGCGCCTATACTCGATAAAAACAAGCGATAGGATTTCCCTGTTTTTGAAAGAAAAAAAAATTTAAAATTGTAATCATGAGTCTCAACTACTCCTGACTAAAGAANGGGGCTAGTTCATACCTTAAACTTTGTTCTTGGTTCTAATCAGAATTATGAACCTGAACAACATAAACGCGCCTATACTCGATAAAGACAAGCGATAGGATTTCCCTGTTTTTGAAAGAAAAAAAAATTTAAAATTGTAATCATGAGTCTCAACTACTCCTGACTAAAGAAAAGATTTGTATCATTGTAAGAACAATACCTCAATATAAACACGGCCCAAAAGTCTCCCATATCCAAAACTATAAGATTTTGAAGGGTAAAAATGTCACTGTTCAAACTGTGGTTGAACAATAAAGATTTTAAGAATTGATGGACACCATAGCGTCGTAGACCACCTCTACGCAAAACATTCCATTAACATATATCTCTAATATGAAACTGTTAAATGTATATAATATTACTATTCATATGTTTGTCTAACATCAGTTAGACTAAGAAATTTCACTATTCTCTTGTACTATAAATAAACTTCCTTATGTGTATGAAAGATCATATCAAAGTAATATATATTTACTATTCGTTCTATATTCTCTTCTTTCACATAAACAAAGAAAGATGAGGTTTTATTATCATGAGACAATTCAATTCCACCATGACGATACAAAATCCACCAAAAAATTCGGATCATAATAAAACAAATCAAAAGCTCAGGCTAGATACAAAAGTCTAGTATCCATCATATATGGCCAATTCAATAGCCAATACCACCACCCTTATGCTGTACAATGACTAGAATTTTCTATACTTCGACAAAGATGGGGACACTCTTCAACTAACCCAACTAAAACCCAAAATTGTAGGCTGTTTGAGAGTGATATATTTATTTGAATTATCATATAGATAGAATAGTGAACTGTGGTCTCACTGTGAATATACCTTATGCAAAATCCAAAGAGAAAAATGTGCATGTTTAGGTGCTAAAGAAGTGGAGCTCTGCGAGGGACACCCTTCCTCTTGTGCAATTGCTTCTTTGGCTTCAGTGCTAAAGACACCCAGGCTTGATATTCCTCGGCTGATTCGCTTAAGGAGAGAGATGATTCATTTTCATATATATCACTTTCTGGGTCATAGTTCTCCTTCAAAGACAGGCCATCAAACCCAGGAACTGGGTCAGAGTCAGAGATCAACTTTTGGCTCGGGTCTTTAGACTTCTCGGCATTTACTGATACCTAAAAATTCACAATGTCATTTACATTACAGGATATGAATTTTGATGGAGAAAGTGGAAATATCAAACATCTACACAGAGATCAAGTCATGTGAGTTGTGGATATGTGTTCACTGCTCATTACCTTGCATGCAATAGAGCAAAAGCGATTAGGCAAGTCTTGTATGTGCCTCCCACAAGCTTCACAGGATGCCCCACTCTTTGATTTCGATGGTTTGATCTCTTTTGATTGAGGCCTTGGATTTAGATGTACAGCTTTTTCTCCATTGATTTTGTATGTCTGCGAATATAATTCAGTATCACCAAATTAAATTAATCCTCCAAAATGTAAATATACAAAGCAATCAATTACTAAGGAAATAAAACTAAAAAAATCTATTTGAATCAATTTAGTGTTGCTAAAGCAAATGATTATTCTATTCTGGCCCTCTCTTTGGGTGCTCTATTCAACCACTCTCCACTTTCTTATATGATTATTATCCTATCACTCTTTGGATCTTTGTTCTTCTACTCGTAGTGAAGCTCGATTGACTGTAATACTATTGACTGGATTCTAATTATGACAAATGGTTTGCATGTCAAAAAGGAATAAAATTGATGCAATTCAAACGAATTACAATCAGAAATCTATAATTGGCAAACCAGATGATTACCAGTACAAAGACCATCAATGGAAAACCGAAATAAAATTTCTAGATAAATTCTTCTAATAACTAAAGGCAACCAGATCAATCAGAAATGTTAATTATCAAATTAGATAAGCACAAGTACTAGGTGACCACAAATCCAGAGATTAACATGTTATCACAGTAAATTCATAATAAATGGAACATCAAACTAGAATCTGCCCAGAAATATTCACCAAACACATCTAATCAATAAAGTCACAATTATTATCGAAATTCCAAAAATAAAAAAATTACCCACGTTGAGAGTTTAGATTAGATTGAGAATTACTGACTTGAATTTTAGAGCAATCGAGGTGTTTCTGAATTTCTTGAAGGCGAACAACGTCATGATACACATACTTGCAGATTTGAAGCCATCGATGAAGGCAATGAGCCGAAGAAGTTATACAATGCTTACAAAAGCAAAGATTGCAGTCAATGCAAAACATGTTCTTCTCATTCTTCCGGAGGTCCCAGTGATCAACGCAAGCACCAAAGAACCTGCTGCACAATAAAGTGCTCAGCCACTCGGGTTGTCTCTTCTTTATACGTATTGTGCAGCCCACCTGCAAAGAACCAATCCACCAGGCAAATTCACATGATATAACGGTGAATTTTGTAAAACAAACTTCGATAAATCAATCGAATAAGTGAAGTGAAACATTACAAGTTTAAAGGGTGTTTTTTTCCAATTTATAAATTTACAAGTGTGTGGGAGAAAATTTAGAGCACAAGATAGCATGAAATTAGGATCAGAAAACACCAAATTTGATAACAAGTAGTGGAGAGAATTCTTGCTAACCATTTTGATGGTATGGAATTGAACTGGGTCTGAGTGAAGTGATTGGAACAAGAAGAGAGAGAATATACTGCTGCAAAAATGATTAGGGTTGCAAAAGAGGCTGAAAAGGCAGAGAAGAGAAAGGAATTGCACAGCGAGGAGAGTTTTAAAGGTTGAGAATGGAAATGATAAATAAAAATAGGAACACAAATCTTTGATTTTGATTGAAGTTAAGTATCTCTGTATTGGAAAGTAGCCAACAATTTTGGGGAAGGTCAAGAGATCTGGGCCGTTAAATTGAGATGGGACCTACTTAATCAGAAATCTAAGAGATATTGTGGATCATCTCATTGCTCCACTGGTATACTTTCCCGCCAAACGACCGAGAATTTCGGCCATTGGTTACGATGTTTTAGAGGCGCCGCTTTGTGTTTCCTTTTATTTTATTTTTTATTTTGTTAAAAGTGAACACTATTTTTTTTGCTGATTCCATGGACCTGTACACGTCTTATTTGGAATAAAATTTATGGAAGAGACAGCTGGTATTTCCCTTATTTGAAAATTGCACAATTTTGATTTGAAATTTAAAGAATCCAATTTTGAAAAAAATGGGTTGTGATAATTAATGGGTAAGCCATAAAATTTTTTTTTTCTACTTATTAAAATTTAAGTTGATTAAATTCTATTTAAACTGATTAATTTTTTTTTACGTATTAAAATTTAAGCTTATTAAAAGTCTTTTTTCCGTATTAAAATTTAAATCAATTTGAGTTTTACTTGAATTGTTAACCCTAACTAATATTTGATTCAAATCGATTAAAATTTATATTTTTTTATTTATTAAAATTCGATTCAAATTGATTAAAATTTATTGTTCACCTATTAAAATTTAAGTTAATTAAAATTTATATTTTTATGCATAAAAAATCGGGCCAATTAAAATTAATGTAAGTTGATTAAAATTTCATTTGAGTCTCGAATAAAATTTTAATTTGCTCAAATTTTAATACGTAAAAAAATATAATTTTTAATTAACTCAAATTTTAATATATAAAAAATAAATTTTAATTAGTTCAAACCAAATTTTAATAGCCCCGAATTTTAATATCCGTAAAAAAATTTAGAAAATAGAGGTTCTCATTGAAGATATGTCTGTTTAGAGGAAGTGTGGATAAAATTTTTCTTAAAATATATAGTAAGCAATTTAGTAAAATTTGCATTGTAATTATCATTTTTAATCTGACAGGAAGTGTCAATGAAGATATAAAAAATACAAGAGGTATTTTTGAAGATATAATAAAGTAGAAATTGTGCGATTGAAATTTTTCCAAACTAATTTGATGCGAGTATTTTGTTCACCCAGCTCAGTCAGGATATAGCACAAGAACAGAGGAGGTTCGTTCACCCAACTCAGTCAAGATAAAGCACAAGAACAGAAGTTCAACCCGATTGGACCAACAGTAAATCAACTTTAAGGTGAAAGCATATTCGCAAGAATTCATCATTGAGTGAAATTTAATAGTGAAACCGTAATAGAGATGATCTATATCTAATAAATTAAATGAGAGAGTTATTTATCCAAAAAAAATTAAGCGACACAGTTATTGGGGCATAGACCCGCCAAAGTTATCGGTTTGTACATGGGTAACTAATTAAAGAAGAACCATAGTCAATTAGACGGGTCTAATAAAAAGGGTCATAAAAGCATATAAAAGTCGGTCCTTAGAATTCGGAAAACCTTGGGCCGACATCATAATGTTAATCTCTTATATCTCCATTTTTCATGATCTAAATCGTTTTCAACTAGTAATAATGTTTAGCATGGAACCAATGTCGACAAATTTGAGTGTCAAAAAACATTAGAAAGTTCAATGGTGGTATTTATATATAAAAGCCTTTTAATTTGGTCTACAATTGGAAATAATTGTGAAAATTTTGTTTTTATTTTCATCATGTCAAGTGAAAAGAGCAACAAAAACACGATGGGTGTTTTTGTGATGTCATGATTTTTAAGAGTACTTGAAATGCCGATTATGGATGTTTTTATTTTATCGCTATGATCCCTTTTTACGTCTAAAACTCTTAGTTTGAGAATATGGGTTTCAATTTTATTCGCCAACACAAATCTTATTCGACACAAAACTCAAAAATAACACAATTAGTTGACACGAATAATAAATTGATCAAATTAAAGTTTGACACAAATAACACGATTAACGAGTACTATAGATAGAAAATAAGCATTTAATAAAAATTATAGATAGAAAATAAGAATTTTATAATTTTTTAAATAATATTATATCAGTTGTTACCGAATTAAATAATTATTTACTCACACGAATATTGACACAAACTTAACACGTACAGAAAATGACACGACACGAAAATAACATGACCGAAATTGATATAACACGAAAATACCACGACACAACACGATTGACACACCTATATAGTTATGTCGAAAATTGTTGAAATATGACAAAGGAATTTATTTATTCGACCAAAGAAAGTGGCTTTCCTTTTTCAAAGTGAAGAAATAAGAAGATTTTTTGTTTCTTAAACCACAAAAAAATAGGTCAGTTTCATGACCATATATGTATAAGCAACTTAAATGACTCTCGTGTCCTCGGGTGGATTGCACAACGGAAGATTCAAATGAGGGAAAAACTGACATTAAATTGACTAGGTTAAAAAGTCAGACTTTTCAGTACGGGATGAAGAAAAACTGGCATTCATAACAAATCTTATAAATCTTCAAACGAACAGTGAGAATCTAGCAATTATAGCATAGTAGATTAACTTGACTAACGGAGTCGGTTGAAAACATGAGACACTAAAGTGTAGGGGCGGCTCAAGGTAAAGCGGAGCCTAGGAAAAATATTTATACGATACACTATTATTATTTTGTCTATTAATATATTATATTATAATTTTACTTTTTATTTATTTAAAAATTATTTTTTTATTTTGTGAAATGTAAAATATTGATCAAATTTTTATATTCAAATTTTGACAATAAATAATATAATTAATTCATTCGATCTTAGTTGATCATACATAAGATTAGTGATTTAATGATAAAATATGTGAACAAAGAATAAATTTAAGATAACAAAAAATCATTCTTTACCCATGAGTTATGTGCAAGCATGAAGTACAAAACTTTGATAACACGGACAATTTAAGCACAAATTATTTGGATTAAAAATTTATATATAGATTTTCACCACAAAAAATAATGTATATAAATTTTCTTTGTGAGTGAGTGGAATACAACTATAAACACACCCAAAAAAGTTAAAAAAAAACTTATATCAAAGCTCACATGGAGGAGTAATTTTGGACCTAAATAAATTAGATATTGATTTAAACTACTAAAATTTGGCCCCTAAAAATTTGAATCATATCAAAAATTAAAAAAAAAAGAGCAATTATATTAAAGGGGTAAATTTTATAGAAACCCTTTAAAATTTGGGTTTAATCAAATATAGAGTAATTTCGGATCTAACAAAATTAGATATGAGATATTTGTAGGCTGGTACACTTTTAATAACTTATTTGTCAAAAAGTCCAATCACCAATTTTTTTGTTAAGAAGTACATTTCGGATTAAAATGACTCTAATACCCTTAATTATTTATTTACTAAATTAGCTAAACCAAATTAAGAAACAAGATCAATTCATTAACTAAGTTGCTATTTCATCGGAGTTTCATTTAAACTCTTTGAAACACAGAATAATCATGCAAGAGTCAAGGGAAAAACCTTTAAATTGATGCAATCCTTCCATAAAAATATGCAACCGAAATTTTTTTTATGAAAAAGGGAAATTATTTAGATTTCAAGAGCAACTATTTTCTTATATTAAAATGTTATGGTTTTTCTAAAAAGTTGTTACTTATTAACCCCCACATCTCTAACAAATCTAAAAACCTCATGAATTTGGGTTTGTAAACAAAAGAGTGACATAATTAAGAAATAGCATGACATCAAATAGTGAATTCAAACATTAAAGAGTGATATAATTAGAAAATAGTGTGACATACTTAAAAAAATAATGTGACTTCAAAAGAGTTATATAATTTTAAAAATAATGTGACATCAAAGGGTGACATAATTTTAAAAATAGTTTGTCATAATTAAAAAATAGCGTGACATCAAAAAGTGACGTAATTTTAAAAATAATGTGACATCAAATACCAGAAAGTTGATGACCTCTATTGTAGAAGACCGTTAATGGGTATCGGTGACTATTTGAAAAAGATGAATATAAAAAAATGAAGATATGAAAAAGAATGATTACAGTTTAGATCAATATACAACAAAAACGTTAACTGCCAAAGATATTTTTGTAATCTTTTTAAATTCAAACAATTAATTGCCCATTAAAATGGGAAACTACTTGGTCAATAAAAACAGAATC